GAGATTATAGCTATCAGGGAAACAAGTAATAGGAAGGGAATTCCACAGATGGGAGGTGTGAGACATGAAACTATTGGAATAGTAGAGACGGCCACATTTAACCATTTCGACAGTGAAAGGGTGGGACCATGATGTCAGCCTAGTAGCATGCTTAAATTCATGCAGTCTGGGAACTAACGAAAGTAGCTTGTCGAAGCAGTTACCATAAAAGTATTTGTAGAAAAGACAGAGGGAGGTGACGGCATGTCTGTGAGAGAGCAACTGTAGACAAGATGCCAGATCAGGACCAACCATATTGCTTATCCATCTCTGGATCTTGTCAAGGACCTTAAGGCGAACAGTGGGGACACCAGACCATATATGGCAGCAGTATTCCATGCAAGGGCAAATTATTGATTTATAAATTTGAAGGATGGATTCAGGCGAGAAAAACTTTTTGGCGCAACACAGGGAACCAACTTTCCTTGCAGTGGATGAAGCTTTGAATTTAATCAAATTATTATTTTGAGATATGATTATTCCATTTGTAACTTGATTATTTCGGTCATAAATTTGCTTACTTAAACCACATCAGTAATATAGCTTGTGATCAGTACTCAAACCCCCCAATCACTAAAACAATGTAATACTTATCTTCTGCTACATGAGAACTTTGATTTTCAGAAATAGTCTTTTTACAAATGTTTACACATTTGTTGGTATTTATTAATATGAAGAAGAAAAAAAAATATGCTATTCATAATTTTTTCTATTTTTAATTATTATGATTACAAGAGTTGTCCAAATTATTGAATTCATTTATGTTGCTACCACAATATTTTGGTTGAACTATTCTACAATTTACCCCAGGGGTACAATCTGTAACTAAGGGAAGATTTTTCTTTCTATCTCTGCATCTGCTTTTTTTTATTATTATTTCAAATTCATAGAGAGCAAACAGAAAAGAAATGGTAATTAATATCCTCTAATATAGAATTAAATCATCTGTGTGGTCCATGTTAAGCATGTTGAGAGGATTGAGAAAGGACAGTCAGTATATCAAACTGTGTTTCTTTTCAATTTGCTAACTTTTTCCCCCATAAAAGAGAGAGAGACATTTTTCTCTATATGTTGGACACCTGAAGATGATTAGAAATATTGTGGTAGCAACAAAAAGCAAATGAGTTTGGTCATCTGACCAATTCTTGAGAAGAAAAAAAAAACAGGTTTAAAATTCAGTTTTGCATTTATTCATTTTTGAAAAATTCCTAAATGTGACATATGGACCAAAGATTTTAATTGGTCATTAAGATCTCAAGTTTTAACTCTATTTGAATATCCATCATACAGTTCTTCCATATAATTGAATTTCACAGCAGATAATATATAATCTTTACTTGCTGCCAAGTGAGTTATCTAGCTGAATAAAAAGCAATGTTTATTTGTTTTTTTCCCATCAGCATTATAACTTAAATATAATAAATTCTAAAAATGTGAAACCTAAGATGAACATAATCAGTGTATGCTTTTGTTTTTTTTTTATGTAGGAATTTTGAAATTTTAAAAATTGCTGTGTATATTTAGTTTAAGCATCTCCTAACAAAAAAGGTGCAAAGAAAAACAACTTTGAGGATTTTATAAAAAAATATGAGCATTTTTCATACACAATTAACTACACTATCCCTTTTATATATATATATATATATATATATATATATATATCTAGCTACTTGATTTTAAGCATGACCACTTTCTTACATGTAATAATATACCTGAGAAATCAGACTGATAGACACTTGTACAGCATGAATATAACTCTCTCAAAATTAAGTACCATAATTCAGTGACAAGAATGCTCAAGAAGATTGTTTACAGCTTCAGTTGGAGGTTTTTAATTAAGAGTTGTCCTTCTAGACTGGTACCCACCCAAGGCTAAAGAGGCTAGTATGCCTTACAATTTAACCCATAGCTGGGGGAGAAAGAAAAGTTGGATTCATATATTTCCCAAAGATAATTGCATGAAAGTGAATGCAAAATCTTGAACTTGGCTTGCTGATTTCTATTTTCAAGAATTATCTATTACACCACCTACACAGCCATGTATATAGAGAGAGAAAGAGTGTGTGGGGGGGTAGATGGGGTGCGATGGATAAGTTGTCGTCTAAATTATGCAAAGAAGTGTATATATATATAACCATTAATTATTGTCAGAAGTAGAGAAGTTGTCTTATATTTATGAACATAATAAGACTATTTATCCAGTGAATTCAAGATGTGAGGCTAATGTGAAACATCCTAATATGTGTTATCATATATATATTATGTGTTAATATTATGTATATATATATATATATATATATATATATATATATATATATATTATATAATAATAATATTAATGATTTTGTATTTTGGTTACCAACAGTGGTTCTTTTTATTTGTCTGTGTCACGGGAGTGGTACAAATCCAGACATTCCAATGTTGTCCCATTATTTATTACCAGCCATGCTGACTGTCTTATTACTGTCATGTCATGATGGAAAAATGTGAAGGAGAATAATACAATTATACACAAATTATCATCTTCCTCTAGAGGATTGAGAAGGTGAGAAATCTCTGGATTGAGGAATTATTATTATTTACACCGTAAATGTTTGAGTGAATTACATTATTTGTTTCCACCAGTACTGATCTTCACACCTAGGACCCACCATGCTATGTACATTGAGTTAGTTCATTCTTATTCTCTTCCATTGGTAAGGAGGAAGTTCCAGAACTGCTGCAATGTGGAACAGGTTCCCAAGAGGATGTTTCCCAGATCACTACAATCTTAACCTTTTCAAGTCAAGAATCAACCTTTATCTATCCTACATATCCTCATAATATGCAACTCTTGGTCCCTCCCTGTACACCCCTACATCTCCATTTAGTAACCCTCTACCTTGAGGGGCTCTTTGGCCTTGTATTCGGTGAACAATAGAAAAGAAAAAAAATTACATGCAAACTATTGTCCTGATCTTTGTTGTTATTATCACATTGGGACTAGTGCATTAAAGCATTAGTTTGTGACATCTGTTCGTAAAGTATTTATCTATGTCAGTCTGTACATATCTATCTATATATCTGTCTGTCTCATTCTGTTTATATCTATGTATCAAACTATTTCAGTCTGTTCCTATCTATCACGTTCTGTTCATATCTATGTATCTCATTCTGTACATATCTATCTATTTAAGTCTGTTAATATCTGTCTATCTATCTTACTATGAATTTATTTCAGTCAGTTCAATCCCTAAGCCAAGCAGTGTGTACTTGAACTTAGTAGAAACAAGGCGAACAATAAGTAAGTGACATTAAACTTTAGCACTCTGCATTATTCACCAGTATTACTTCCCCTTCTACAACATATTTTTTGAAGTAGGTCTGCTGTTGATTTTACTCAAGATAATTTTTGCTGTTGCTATTGCAGGATATGTAAACACAACCATGAAATTTAAATGCATTATTTTTCAGTAATAAGAGTCACCTGCATTGGTAGGACAAACGTTACTTTTGCTTGATAAAAAAAAGAGTGCTAAAAAGGCTAAATAAGAACTAAGGTGATATCCCTAGTCAATATGGTCAGCAGAATGAGAACAATCTATTTCCGAAGATTAAATTAAACTGATTCGGTTCAAAATTACCTGATCAACAAGCACTCGATGAAAGCCAGATGGTACAACAGACGAAACGTTGTGATAATAACAACAACGATCAGGACAATAGTCCGCATGTATTGTAAATAATGGCGATAAATATCAGTCTAGAGACATTCATCAAGTTAACTTAAATGATTTTAGAAGTATGATTTTAGTAACTTGTTTATCATTATGACAGTTTAGAACGCTAAATGATAGTAAGTAAAACTAAAAGTAATTGTAAAACAAGTAAAAATACTTCTCTTTTGTTAAGCACTGTATTTACTTCACAGCAGAATCAGAAAATAAATATCTTCTTTTTTTTAAAAATTTGTGGTAGTTTGTGGTTGTTGCTATTGATTGATTGTTTACTTACTACTTTTTTTGGCTATGTTTTTGTTTTCAAACTTTTCTTCTTTTGTACCATCATAACTTTTTAAAAATCCATTTCAGTCTGTATTGTCATTAATTGTTTTTCATAAAACTTGACAATTTTTCATGCACTGTATGAGAAATCGTAGAAAAGAGAAAACAGAAAGAAAACGAAAAAAAAAACGAGATTTTGTCCCTCAAACTTGTTAAAAATTAAATCTAAGAGTAGGAATTTTTTATCAAAGAAAAAAGTGCCTTCCTTTACTACGGTCAGTCTAGAGACTCTAGCTAGAGACGTGTAATTTCAGTTTTTCTCAATGTCTGCTTTTCTCTTGCACCAATAAATAAATGGTCTTTCTTTAAAAATATAAAAGTAAAAACTTTATGTTCCCATTTTCCCTCTATCCGATTATTATTCATTCAATCAAGTTTTTTTTTTTCCTGGTTTATAGGTAATCTATCCAATTTTTAATGAAACAAATCTCACTTTTTCTCTCTCTTTCGTACACACAGTTGAGTACAGCAAAAAACGAGGTTGGCCTGAAAAATATATATATATATATATATATAAGAGTTACTGCCTGTTTTTATTGTTTAAGAAAGAAAAAAATCTAAAACCAGTGTACATACAGTCCGTACTTCAGACATACACACATATAGCGCCTTCCTTCTGGTCTGTATCCCCCTCACTTAGATTTTGTTTCTCTATCTATGTCTGTTACTGATACTCACTCCCTGTTCGTTTTTCTTTCTGTTTCTTTCCTTCCTCTTTCTCACGCACATTCTCTTTTATTCTCGCCCTCGCCTAGTTCTTTGTCAGCTGTGGCGTATACTAATTCCCAGATGTTGGAGGTCACCTAAGAACCGCCTAACTCGACTCGTATTTAGGACTGGAAGGTCGTGCAAAAACCGCTCTATCCTTGCAGTTATCCATGTATTTCCAACGGGTTTTTACTTCGTCACCCCACACTTATGAAAGAAGTTAAGTAAGTATATATTTGCCCACCGCCGTGTCTTGTTTTTGGTACTACCTTACAATTCTACATTCAGAGAGCGAGACACGCGCGCACACACACACACGCACAACAACAAACTTCTTTTAAATAACTCTACTAGTCCTCACTCGTTTTCTCTTCTGTTCGTTATGTCTGCTTCTTGGAATAGAATTAACTGTGTAGAAAGAACTTTTAATACTTGATTATTCCGCTTTACAGTACACAATCTGATCATCAGCTTCTCTAGAGTTATTGATAGCTGTTGATTAGACCTGATCTATGTCGATTTCCTCGACGATCGTATTTTTCAGTTAGTCAACTAAATTCCTTTATTTTTTTCTTCTTACCTTAAAAACTTTACTAAGTTCCATTCGTTTTCCTCAACTCTGTGTTTTCCTGAAATATTCTTCTTAACCGTGTTGTTTTAAGCTAATTCTGTTTTTGTTTTTGTTAAGTTATTTTTCTTTATGACTTTAACCCGACACTTGTTCAACTTCTTTTTTCTGGTGACAATTTAATCAAAATATAATTAATAAAAAAAAAAAAAAAGTTACTTTCTTTATCCATTTTTAAAGTACCTAATTTCCTTTCTTTTTAAAATAAAATTAGTTGTCAAAGATTTCTCGTAAACAACTACTCTAACTGTATGTTTTTAATTTTTTCTCTATTTCTCAAAAGTTTTTAATTATCTTCAATGTTTTTAGACAATTTAATTAATTATTCTTGATGTGATGATGATTTTATTGTATCGTGGGTGGGGAGCGTATAAAATTGTGTGTCAGTCAGTCTGCACCCACACTCTTTGTGTGTGTGTGTGTGTATGTACCCTATTTTTTATGATGTAATAAACTACTTGAAGCAATGGAAGTCTGCATTTTAGTTAATTTTTATTTACTTATTTTTTTATTTGTACGTTTATGTCTGTCAATAATTATTAAATGTCTGTTTGTCACCATTAAGAAAGAGAGCAGGAAAGTTGCATCGTGAGTTTTTTTTAGTTTATTATTTTTCAAACTAAGTGGCAATTGTCGAAGTACTACTATCCTCAGCATTGGTGGTAACTGATTTCACTGGCTTAAGGTTGGTGAAAAAAAACTTGTTGCTGGGAAGCCAGTAAATTGGGTTTGCTACTGGGGGTAGGTACAGGAGAAGCAATGGGTAGGAAAATTTCTGGGTGTTATGTGTGTATAGTACGCACTGAGTGTGAGAGCGATATAAAACAAGTTGTGCTGAACGATTTCAAAAATAGCTTTTTATAAGAAAGGGATATTTTTTTTTTCCTTTGTTTAAAAAAAAAAAAAAAACTATCGCAAACTAAAGATATAATGATTAAAAATGTCAGTCATTTTGTTGAGTTGAATATTTTTGTGCGATTTACAGTAAAAAAGTAAAACTGATTTTTAAGTTCTATTTCAAAAAGTTACAATTAGAATTTCCCTTCTGGATAAAAAAGGGATTGTTTTCTTTTCAGAACGTAAAGATGGATTATAGCCTTTTTTTATGTAGTAAAGAAAAATAGTCTCAAATTAGTTTTTATTATCTTTTTTTTATTCTTCACAGTTCCACATTAAAAAATATATAGTTTCAATTTTTAACATTGAGTAATTTTTTCCCCTTATGGTAAGAACTTCAAGCCTTGCTTCATTGGTTGACGTAATAATTACATTTGTATTTATTTAATTTTTATTTATTTTTTTTAACCATTATAATTAAATCATTATAATCTTGCAGGTATTATGATTCAGAATTGTAAGAAAAAAATGACAATAACAGGGAAAGTTTATCAGAGTACAGTCGAAAATAAATTTCCCTACTCACCTATCATTTTTTTAATCTTTCTCAGCTATGAAAAGTTTAAGTAGCCTAAATTTGAAGTTTTATTTTTTTTTTAAATTGTCGGCTTACAAATGTGCAATAAAACTACATTTTCAATTCAATCCATATGTTAAGTTTGAAACAATGATATTATTTTGTTATATCCTTTTTTCCTACATTGTTTACCTTTTTAAACAAATTTGCATAATATCAGTGAAGGTATTTTTTTAAAAGTAAAACTTAAAAAAAATAAAATAAAACAAACTTTACCAACTTGTTTTGATTGAATCGTCTTACTCTTCTTAGCAATGCTGTGATCAAGTTATATTGTTCTTTCTTTTGACAATAATTATCAATTCCAGAATTGCACTGAGAATACCTGAAGTGTTTTTAATATTATTTTCATTTATGATTCAAAATTTTCTTAATTCTTCAACTAAACTTGGATATTTAATTCCTATTTTGTTTTTGTTTTTTTTCTCAGTGCAGTGATTGACTCTTTTTTATGGCAGTTCTAAAATGGCCTTGTGCCAGACATGGCTCATTTAAAATTCCAATTTGGATCTTGTGTTATTTTTTAAACAAAGTGTAAAAATTGCAACTGTAAGGAATTTCATTATGTTGAGAATTTTTTGTTTTTTCACATTTTAAGAATTTTCTTTTCTCTCTTTCTGGTAGAGTCAAACCTTTCCAGGCTTTCAGGAGTATTAACAATTTAAAAAAGTGCTAAAAATTTACGTAGTTTAAAAAATAAAAATAAAAAAAACACCAAAAATCTTTTTGAAGTTTGTCATTTAAAGTATAACATGAACTTCTTGTTGATTAATTCAAAAAGTTCAGTAGTTTAATTATTTGGCATCAGGTGTGTTTTTACTTTTCTATCTTAGTTTGCAATTGTGAATTGTCCAATCTCATGGTTATTTAAGAATTTACACACAAACACACACAGTAGGTGATGAAATGTATTTGGCCCTACCACTTGCCAAAATCTGGCCAAACATCAGATTTATTATTATTTATTTATTAATTTGAAAGGTTTCTTAGTTAGACTAAGAACTTTTCAGTACCCAGTCATAGACATACACATTCAGAGGACAATCCAAAAGTAATACTTTCTATTTATTTAAATGAAAACTGAAACATATACAGGGAGCACAAGAATATTATTGGATAGACTAAATTTTCAGCTGAAAACACTACTTTTCCTCATAGTCACAAACAGTGGTTATGCATTTCCACCAGCAATGAACGAGAACCTGCATGCTGTGCTTGTAAAAATCTGCACCAGCAGACATGACCCACTTTTTCACAGCAGCAATGGTGGCGTCATTGACAGGAAAATTTTGTCTATATAGTCTATCTTTCATCAATCCAAACAGATGAAATCCAAGAGGTGCCAAATTCAAAATAGTCTATAGTAGGACAGTATAACCCAAATTTGCAACTATTATGGGGCCTGGCATTATTGTATTGTAAGAGAAATCTTTAATTCTTCAGCCTGAATATGGAAATCAGATTTATTAGCTTAGTCAGCATCATGATGTAATGGTCAGAGTTGATGATTTGTTCAGATTCAAATAAACCCAAAAGAATCACCTATTACTTTTCCTGTTGATGGCTGCTTCTTGGGATAAATGGTGGAATTCACACATCAACTCTCCATCAACTGTGCTGCTTTGATTTCAGGTTGTGGTGATGCCAGGGTCTTGTCAGCTTCAGCCTTGTGCTAATTTGACAATTCTTGATCCCAACCATTTTTGCAACACCTAAAAATCAACATTCAGTTTCACACACACGGTTCTTTGATCATAATCCACAAATTTGCATAGATAATTTGGTTGAGTTACTATTCATATTGTAGGTTGGCAGCTGTGCAAGAATTCCTAGAACATTGCTTGTCCTGCACATGATGGTTGCCAATGCTGAAATACATTACTCACCACCTCTGCTCACATTCACTGTTTGGTCTTCATAAACATTCAGCAAGTGTCAGTGAGTGCAATTTTTTTCTGCATGGAGAAATTCAATGACACACCTTTTTCATACAGACTTTCATATCAGATGTCATTTTACCAGATTGCAGCTCAACTGATATCTGTAACAAGTTAAAAAATAAATTATGGGTTGTTTATCGGAAGGATCAACCTCTACTGCTATGCCACCATCTACCTTTGATGTAGGCAAACATAATAAAATTGTAATCCCAGTAGGGCCTAGTCAAGAAGCCATTCAAAAAAAAGAAAAGATAAAGTTGGTGCTTGGGAAGTAGGTTGGATCAAGAGGTTTCTGCACCTCCTTGTGGGTGGGTATATAATATAGAAGTGAAAATATATAGTATGTGTTTATATGTATATGCACTGCATCTTGCATTATTAACTACTTAATGTTTTATCAATATATGAATTATCACTGGATTGTGAAGTTTGTTGAACATACTGGACTGGCGGACTCTGATGCAGATCCAGTAAGGATAGATCTGTGTTTTGGTATCAACAGAAGAGTTTGACACATTGGCTCCGACACAACCAACTGAAGAGTCATGGTGGTATGGCTGCAAGGCCTACATGACCTTCTAGTGGGTTGTTTTCCAATTTCTTTTCTATAAGGATTATTGGGAATGAGATGCTATGATTGATTGCTTATGAGATCATGGTACACCAGAACCACATTTTCCCCTCCCAAAATTAAATATTTCTGAATATAGAAAATGAGAGTGTCAGTGTAATATTGGGTATTTTCCAACAACCCATGGATGGGTCGTGTGGGACTGGGTTGTAAAATGGACTCAGGTACCAAACAATACATTGGTGGGTCATGGATAATGGGTAATAAATACTACCTATGATATCCTTACCTCATATATGAAACAGTGTTTAAACAAAGTTGCTTGTACCAAAATTAAGATATAGTATTGGGACAACTAAGGAAAATCCATGAGGTTAAGATAAACAGACATTATCATATGACAGTAACCATACAGATCTAAATTAAATTTATTTGAGAATTGAAGTGAATAAATAGATTCATTAATGTTATCTTTATCTATTTAGACATCTGTCTGTTTGTCTACCCAGTTTGTCTCTAATGAATTTATCTGTCCATCCATAAGCTAGTGGGAATGCAAAAATATTTTCTGTCAAAAAGCTTGAACATAAAAAAAGGATATTTCTATGTCT